CAGGTGTATGATAATGTAAATATTTGGTCTGGAGTTCTGACACCTCATTACTCTTCTGCTATGGACTACATGTTTGTGCCCTACCAAAATTCATATGTTGAAACTCTAACCCCTCACGGGATTGAATTAGGAGACAGGGTCATTGGGAGTTAATTATGTTTGATGAAGTCATAAGGGTGGAGCCCCACAATGGGATCAGTGGCCTTATATGAAGAAAGGAACTAGAGCTTGCTTTCTGTGCCATGTGAGGATACAAGAAGATGGCTGTCTGCAAATCAGGAAGACAGCCCTGAGCAGACACTGATCTGCTGGAACCATGATCTTGGGCTTCCCAGCCTCCAGAAGTGAACCACCCAGTCTATGGTACTTTTGCTATAGCAGCCAAACTGACTAAGATGTCTTCTTTCTTCTTTGTGGAATTCTACCTAATCTCAAGCCGTGACTTTTCCAGGTTGGTTTGTTCATTTGTTAATTCATTCTACAAATAATTACTGAGTACCTTTTCTGAGCCTGGGACTGTCCCAGACCCGGTTTGGTAATGGTGAATAAGACAGACACAGTCCTCGACCTCAGGGGCTTTAACTTGTGAAGGAGGACAAACAAAAGCAGGAAAACAGAAAATACTGCAGGTGTGGTAAGTTTCATGAAGGAAACAGTAGGGGAGTTGAGGCAGAGAATAACAGGAGCCTGTTTTGTAAGGATGGCATAATTAGGACTTGTAGTTTTTGTCTGCCGAGCATGCACTTGTTTATTTGCTTGGAGAGCCTTGACATGTGAACAAGGTGACATCGGTCAGATATGGCATCCCTTCAAGCCACAGTGATTATTTTGTCTAACTAGTAACTCAAGCCAGGCCAGTAGGATCGGCGAGATCAGTACCAGTCAGCATCCAGTCAGGAAAACAGAAACAATAACATTTATAGCAACAGAAATAATTTAGTATGGAAAGTTCGTAAAGTGGGTAATTGAAGACAGAAAAGTCAAAAAGGAAACACCGAGGTTAACATATGATTGAAGCAACTACCACCCCAGGCTGGGGGAACTAAGCTAAACGTTAGGCATCGTCAAAACTTAGCATTAGTGAGGAGGCCCTACAGAGCTGGGACCTAGACATCTTAGGAGAAGGCACAGCCAGCTGGGGACTGATGCCCCAACATACTGTTATAACCTGCTTTCAGATCTGTTCCACCAATGGAAGGTACTGGCAGGAAACTGGAAGTCAGGAGGAGGAGAGAAAGGGCCTTTTCATGCTTTCTTCTGTATTTAGTATTCCTCTCAAGTCCTTTGGCACCAACTGCACCGTTTTCCTCAGAATGCCACCGTCAGCTGTCATCAGCCACGCAAGGCCTTTTGGGCAGTGAGCACTGCCCTCACCAGTCCTCCTCGGGTTACAGCAGCCACACCGTGGTGACCTTAGGACTGCTGAGCCCTGCTTTTAAAGGCTTGAACATAGCTCTGCACTAACCCTCTGAAACACCTGAGTCTGAGCTGCACAGAGATGCCTCAGAGCTGTGGACGCCAACCCTGTTGCACTGCCTCAGAGCTCCAAGACACACCATACCTCACCCTCCTCCTCTTTTTGGTAAAGGTAGCAACATTGCCTTTTTCCTTCTGTTTCCGCAACCCTAGAGAAGGTCACAGTTTCTTGCAGTTACTGTTCATCATCCTCTTCTCATTCTTTTGGATTTCCCATACTTGTGTAATCACTTTCTTTAATTAAATGGCCTCTAAAATTCTTAGGGTGGTTTCGGTTTCCCTTAGACCCTGAACAAAACAAATATATTGAATATAATTCAAGAAATGAAGGAAGTGATTGAATGTATAGATATCCATATTTGCTGGTAAATGACCTAGCAGCCATGCTCAGATCTAAGCCAGGTCTATTCCTACAGGCATACTCACTTTATTGTGCTTCACAGATAGTGTGTTTTTTACAAATTGAAGGTTTGTGGCAACTCTCCTCAAACAAACTTACTAGCATTATGGGGACACTCATGTTTCTGTGTCACATTTTGATAATTCCCACAATATTTCCAACTTTTTAATTATGATTTTACTTGTTATGGTGATCTGTGATCAGTGATCTTCGAGATTACTATTGTAATTGTTTGGGGATACCACAAACCATGTCCATGAAAGACTGTGAACATAAATGATAAATGTCATGTGTGCTCTGGTCGCTTCACCCATTGGCTCTCCTCAGGCTGCCCCAATCCCTGAGACACAGCAGTGTTGAAATCTGGCAGTTAATAACCCACTAATGGCCTCTAAGTGTTGGAGTGAAAGGAAGAGTGGCATATCTCTCTCTTTAAATCAAAACCTAGATATGAGATGATTAAGCTGTGGCAAAGGCATGTCAAAAGAAGGCAGATAAGCCCAAGGCTAGGCCTCTTGCACAGCTATCCAAATTGTGAATGTAAAGGAAAAGTTTACACTTTTCCTTTCAGTGAACACACTTTTCAGTTTACACTTTTCCTTTCAGTGAACACACGAATGATAAGAAAGCAAAAGAGCCTCACTGCCGAGTCAGAAAGTTTGAGTGGTCTGGTTAGAAGATCAAACCGCCACAACATTCCTGTCAGCCAAAGCCTAACGTAGAGCAAGGTCCTAACTCTTTTTAAATATAGGAAGGCTGAAAGAGATTAGGAAGCTGCAGAAAAAAATTTGAAGCTAGCAGAGGTTGGTTCATGAGGTCTAGGGAAAGACGCCATCTCCATTACCTAAAAGTGCAAGGTGAAGCAGCAAGTGCCAATGGAGAAGCTGCAGTGAGTTATCTGGAAGATCTAGCTAGGATTATTGGTGAAGGTGGCTCTACTAAACAATAGATTTTCAATGGAGATGAAACAGCCTATATGAAAGAAGATGACATCTAGGACTTTCATAGCTAGAGAGGGGAAGTCAATGCCTGGCTGCAAAGCTTAAAAGGACTGGCTGACTTTCTTATTAGGGGCCAATGCAAGCTGGTGACTTTAAGTGGAACAATGCTAATTTATAATTCTGGAAGTCCTAGGACTCTTAAGAAATATACTATGTCTACTCTGACTATGCTTTATGAAAGGAACAACAGAGCCTGGATGACAAACATTATCTGCTTACAGATATCATCTGTTTACAGCCTAGTTTACAGAATATTTTAAACTCACTGTTAAGACATATTATTCAAAGAAAATTCCTTCAAATCATCACTGCTCACTGACAATGCACATGGTTACCCAAGAGCTCTGATGAAGATATACAAAGAGGTTTTTTTCTTAATGCTTCCAACCCACCCCGCTTCATTCTGTAATCCATGGATCAAGGAGCGATTTTGACTTTCAAGTGTTTTATTTAAGAAATACATTTCCTAAGGCTATAGCTGCCACAGATAGTGAGTCCTTTGATAGATCTGGGTAAAATAAATTGAAAACTTTCTGGAAAGGATGCACCATTCTAGATGCCATTAAGAATGTTTGTGATTCATGGAAGGAGGTTGGTATATCAACATTCATGGAAGAAGGTTCACATAGGAGTTTGGAAAAAGTTGATTCCAAACCTCATAGATGACTTTGACGGAATCACCACTTCAGTGAAGTGATAAAAACAGCAAGAGACATAGAATTATGAGTCGGGCCTGAAGATGTGATTGAATTGCTGCAATCTCATGACAGCATTTGAACTAATCAGGAATTGCTCATTTGGATGAGCAAAGAAAATGGTTTCTTCAGATGGAATCTACTCCTGGTGAAGATGCTGTGAACTGTTGAAATGACAACAAAAGATTTAGAAGATTCCATATACTTAGTTGATAAATCAGCAGCAGGGCCTAAGAGGATTGGCTCCAATGTGAAAGAAATTCGAATGTGGGTAAACTATTATCAAACAGCATTGCGTGCTACAGAAAAAATATTTTGTGAAAGGAAGAATCGATCAAAGTGGCAAACTTCATTGTTGTCTTAAGAAATTGCCACAGCCACCACCACCTTCAGTTACCACCACACTGATCAGTCAGCACCCATCTACACTGAGGCAAGCCTCTCCACCAGCAAAAGATTACCACTCACTAAAACCTTAAATGACCATTAGCATTTTTTTAAGCAATAAAGTATGTTTAAGTTAAGGTATATACATTGTTTTCTTTAGACATATTGTTATTGCACACTGAATAGGCAACAACATAGTGTGAACATAACTTTTTAATGCACTGAAAAATCAAAATAATTCTGTGTCTTGCTTTTTTGTAGTATTGGCCTTATTACAGTGGACTGGAATAAAGCCCACAGTATCTCTAAAGCCCTTCGAGTTCAAAGACAAATGACTTTACCAATTGTGTTGATTTCCTTTGATGGTAATATTTAGTTGTATATAATGCTTTCATTTAATAAAAAAATAAAAAAGACTAAACTTTGGGCTTCTGAAATTAATTAAACCAAGAATTGAGCAGTTTCAGACAGGAACCAATTCTGTCTGGTATTACCAGGGGGATTAAGGTATAACCATAGTAGGTTTAAGGGATTAGCCTGTGGATATGCACAGAAAGCAGTGGAGTTTCTGATGTTATTGAAAAATTACTTAAAGCCTAGCATTGATGAACAGGTTTTTGTTCACACAGTATTTGTAATCCTATTACTACACAGGAATTTTTGATAGATCAGTGTTATTACACAGATAGATGGATAATGTGTGTGTGCGTATGTGCGTGTGTGTGTATGAGTGTATTTACATGCTGTATATGTATCTTAACATGGCACCCCTAGAGTTATGGTCTCTATTTCTAAGACTTCTGTTAAATGAAAAGGGAGGAACATCATAACAGGCTTTTTCTTTTTTTTTTATTATTTTATTGCATTTTAGGTTTTGGGGTACATGTGCAGAACATGCAAGACATTTGCATAGGTACACACATGGCAGTGTGTTTTGCTGCCTTCCGCCCCTTCACCCACATTTGGCACTTCTCCCCAGGCTATCGCTCCCCAGCTCCCTGCCATGCTGTCCCTCCCCTCTTCCCCCGAATAGACCCCAGTGTTTGGTACTCCCTTCCCTGTGTCTGTGTGTTCTCATTTTTCATCACCCGCCTATGAGTGAGAATATGCGGTATTTCATTTTCTGTTCTTGTGTCAGTTTGCTGAGAATGATGTTCTCCAGATTCATCCATGTCCCTACAAATGACACGAACTCATCATTTTTGATTGCTGCATAATATTCCATGGTGTATATGTGCCACATTTTCCCAATCCAGTCTATCATCGATGGGCATTTGGTTTGGTTCCAGGTCTTTGCTATTGTAAACTGTGCTGCGATGAACGTTTGTGTGTGTGTGTCCTTATAGTAGAACGATTTATAGACCTTTGGATATATACCCAGTAATGGGATTGCTGGGTCAATTGGAATTTCTATTTCTAAGGCCTTGAGGAATCGCCACACTGTCTTCCACAATGGTTGAACTAGTTTACACTCCCACCAGCAGTGTAAAAGTGTTCCTATTTCTCAACATCCTCTCTAGCATCTGTTGTCTCCAGATTTTTTAATGATTGCCATTCTAACTGGCGTGAGATGGTATCTCAATGTGGTTTTGATTTGCATCTCTCTAATGACCAGTGACGATGAGCATTTTTTCATATGTTTGTTGGCCTCATGTATGTCTTCTTTTGTAAAGTGTCTGTTCATATCCTTTGCCCATTTTTGAATGGGCTTGGTTTTTTTTCTGTAAATCTGTTTGAGTTCTTTGTAAATTCTGGATATCAGCCCTTTGTCAGTTGGGTAGACTGCAAAATTTTTTTCCCATTCTGTTGGTTGCTGATTCACTCTAGTGACTGTTTCTTTTGCTGTGAAGAAGCTGTGGAGTTTCATTAGGTCCCATTTGTCTATTTTGGCTTTTGTTGCCAATGCTTTTGGTGTTTTGTTCATGAAGTCCTTGCCTACTCCTATGTCCTGAATGGTTTTGCATAGATTTTCTTCTAGGGTTTTTATGGTGCCAGGTCTTATGTTTAAGTCTTCAATCCATTTGGAGTTAATTTTAGTGTAAGGTGTCAGGAAGGGGTCTAGTTTCTGCTTTCTGCACATGGCTAGCCAGTTTTCCCAACACCATTTATTAAACAGGGAATCCTTTCCCCTTTACTTGTTTTTGTCAGGTTTATCAAAGATTGTATGGTTGCAGATATGTTGTGTTGCCTCCGATGCCTCTGTTCTGTTCCATTGGTCTATATCTCTGTTTTGGTACCAGTACCATGCTGTTTTGATTACTGTAGCCTTGTAGTATAGTTTGAAACCCGGTAGTGTGACGCCCCCCACTGTGATCTTTTTGCTTAGAATTGACTTGGCTATGCGGGCTCTCTTTTGGTTCCATATGAAGTTTAAGGTGGTTTTTCCAGTTCTGTGAAGAAAGTCAATGGTAGCTTGATGGAGATAGCGTTGAGTCTGTAAATTACTTTGGGCAATATAGACATTTTCACGATATTAATTCTTCCTAACTGTGAACATGGAATGTTTCTCCATCTGTTTGTGTCCTCTCTTATTTCATTGAGAAGTGGTTTGTAGTTTTCCTTGAAGAGGTCCCTTATGTTCCTTGTGAGTTGTATTCCAAGGTATTTTATTCTTTTTGTAGCAATTGTGAATGGCAGTTCATTCTTGATTTGGCTCTCTTTAAGTCTGTTATTGGTGTATAGGAATGCTTGTGATTTTTGCACATTGACTTTATATCCTGAGACTTTGTTGAAGTTGCTTATTAGTTTCAGGAGTTTTTGGGCTGAGGCAATGGGGTCTTCTAGGTATACCATCATGTCGTCTGCAAATAGTGACAATTTGACTTCCACCTTTCCTATTTGAATATGCTTTATTTCTTTTTCTTGCCTGATTGCTCTGGCTAGAACTTCCAGTACTATATTGAATAGGAGTGGTGAAAGAGGGCATCCTTGTCTTGTGCCGGATATCAAAGGGAATGCTTCCAGTTTTTGCCCATTCAGTATGATATTGGCTGTTGGTTTGTCGTCAATAGCTTTTGCTACTTTGAGATACATTCCACCGATACCGAGTTTATTGAGGGTTTTTAGCATAAAGGGCTGTTGAATTTTGTCAAATGCCTTCTCTGCATCAATTGAGATAATCATGTGGTTTTTGTTTTTGGTTCTGTTTATGTGGTGAATTACATTTATACACTTGTGTATGTTGAACCAGCCTTGCATCACTGGGATGAATCCTACTTGATCATGATGGATAAGTTTTTTGATGTGCTATTGCAATCGGCTTGCCAATATTTTATTGAAGATTTTTGCATCTATGTTCATCCTGGATATTGGCCTGAAGTTTTCTTTTCTTGTTGGGTCTCTGCCGCGTTTTGGTAACAGGATGATGTTGGTCTCATAAAACGATTTGGGAAGGATTCCCTCTTTTTAGATTATTTGGAATAGTTTCAGAAGGAATGGTACCAACTCCTCTTTGTGTGTCTGGTAGAATTTGGCTGTGAACCCATGTCGACCTGGGCTTTTTTTGTGTGGTAGGCTCTTAATTGCTGCCTCGACTTCAGACCTTGTTATTGGTCTATTCATAGTTTTGGCTTCCTCCTGGTTTAGGCTTCGGAAGACACAGGTGTCCAGTAATGTATCCATTTCTTCCAGGTTTACTAGTTTATGTGCATAGAGTTGTTTGTAATATTCTCTAATGATATTTTGAATTTCTGTGGAATCTGTGGTGATTTCCCCTTTATCATTTTTTATTGCATCTATTTGGTTGTTCTCTCTTTTCTTTTTAATCAGTCTGGCTAGTGGTCTGTCTATTTTGTTGATCTTTTCAAAAAACCAGCTCTTGGATTTATTGATGTTTTGAAGAGTTTTTCATGTCTCTATCTCCTTCAGTTCTGCTCTGATCTTAGTTATTTCTTGTCTTCTGCTAGGTTTTAAGTATTTTTGATCTTGCTCCTCTAGCTCTTTCAGTTTTGACGATAGGGTGTCAATTTTGGATCTCTCCATTCTTCTCATATGGGCACTTATTGCTGTATATTTTCCTCTAGAGACTGCTTTAAATGTGTCCCAGAGATTCTGGTATGTTGTGTCTTCGTTCTCGTTGGTTTCAAAGAACTTCTTTATTTCTGCCTTCATTTCATTGTTTATCCAGTCAACATTCAAGAGCCAGTTGTTCAGTTTCCATGAACCTGTGTGGTTCTGGGTTACTTTCTGAATTCTGAGTTCTAACTTGATTGCACTGTGGTCTGAGAGACTGTTTGTTATGATTTCCATTGTTTTGCATTTGCTGAGGAGCTTTACTTCCAATTATGTGGTCAATTTTAGAGTAGGTGTGATGTGGTGCTGAGAAGAATGTATATTCTGTGGATTTGGGGTGGAGAGGTCTGTAAATGTCTATCAGGTTTGCTTGTTCCAAGTCTGAGTCCAAGCCCTGGATATCCTTGTTAATTTTCTGTCTGGTTGATCTGTCTAATATTGACAGTGGAGTGTTAAAGTCTCCCACTATTATTGTGTGGGAGTCTAAGTCTCTTTGTAAGTCATTAAGAACATGCCTTATATATCTGGGTGCTCCTGTATTGGGTCCATATATGTTTAGGATTGTTAGCTCTTCTTGTTGTATCGATCCTTTTACCATTATGTAATGACTTTCCTTGTCTCTTTTGATCTTTGTTGTTTTAAAGTCTATTTTATCAGAGATGAGAATTGCAACTCCTGCTTTTTTTTTGCTCTCCATTTGCTTGGTAAATCTTCCTCCATCCCTTTATTTTGAGCCTTTGTGTATCCTTGCATGTGAGATGGGTTTCCTGGATACAGCACACTGATGGGTTTTGATTTTTTATCCAATTTGCCAGTCTGTGTCTTTTGATTGGTGCATTTAGTCCATTTACATTTAGGGTTAATATTGTTATGTGTGAATTTGATATTGCCATTTTGATGCTAGCTGCCTGTTTTGCTCATTAGTTGATGAAGATTCTTCATTTTGTTGATGCTCTTTAGCATTTAGTGTGCTTTTGGAATGGCTGGTACTGGTTGTTCCTTTCTATGTGTAGTGCCTCTTTCAGGAGCTCTTGTAAAGCAGGCCTGGTGGTGACAAAATCTCTGAGTACTTGCTTGTTCACAAAGGATTTTATTTTTCCTTCACTTCTGAAGCTCAGTTTGGCTGGATATGAAATTCTGGGTTGAAAGTTCTTTTCTTTAAGGATGTTGAATATTGGCCCCCACTCTCTTCTTGCTTGTAGAGTTTCTGCCGAGAGATCCACTATGAGTCTGATGGGCTTCCCTTTGTGGGTGACCCGACCTTTTTCTCTGGCTGCCCTTAGTATTTTCTCCTTCATTTCAACCCTGGTGAATCTGAAGATTATGTGCCTTGGGGTTGCTCTTTTTGATGAGTATCTTTGTGGTGTTCTCTGTATTTCCTGGATTTGAGTGTTGGCCTGCCTTGCTAGGTTGGGGAAATTTTCCTGGATAGTATCCTGAAGAGTATTTTCCAGCTTGAATTTGTTCTTTTCGTCCCCTTCTGGTACACCTATCAAATGTAGGTTAGGTCTCTTCACATAGTCCCACATTTCTTGGAGACTTTGTTCATTCCTTTTTGCCTTTTTTTTCTCTAATCTTGGTTTCTCGTTTTATTTCATTGAGTTGATCTTCGACTTCTGATATTCTTTCTTCTGCTTGGTCAATTCTGTTGTTGAAACTTGTGTATGCTTTGCAAAGTTCTCTTGTTGTGTTTTTCAGCTCCTTCAATTCATTCATATTCCTCTCTAAGTTATCCATTCTTATCATTTCCTCGAATCTTTTTTCAAACCTTTTTTCAACGTTCTTAGTTTCTTTGCATTGATTTAGAACATGTTCTTTTAGCTCACAGAAGTTTCTCATTACCCACCTTCTGAAGTCTGATTCTATCATTTTGTCACAGTCATTCTCCATCCAGCTTTGTTCCCTTGCTGGTGAGGAGTTTTCGTTCATTGTAGGAGGCGAGGTGTTCTGGTTTTGGGTGTTTTTCTCCTTTTTGTGCTGGTTTCTTCCCATCTTTGTGGATTTATCCACCTGTCATCTGAGTAGTTGCTGACTTTTTGATTGGGTCTCTGAGTGCACCCCCAGATTGTTGATGATGAGGTATTTTTGTTACTTGGTTTTCCTTCTACCAGACTAGCTCCTCTGCTGTATGACTGCTGAGGTCCACTCCAGGCCCTGCTTGTCTGGGGTACACTTGTAGCAGCTGCAGAACAGTGAGGGATGCTACCAGTTTCTTCTTCTGCTATCTTTGTCCCAGAATGATGCCCGCCAAATGTCAGTCTGATCAGTCCTTTTTGAGGTGACTCTGGATATACAGGGGTCAGGGAGCTGCTTGAGGAGATGGTCTGTACTTTATAGGAGCTCAAGTGCTGAGCTGTGAGCTCCATTGTTCATTCAGGGCTGTTAGGCTGCTACATTTATGTCTGCTGCAGCAGAACTCTTAAAACCCCTTTTTTTCCTCAGATGCTTTGTCTCGGGCAGTTGGGGCATTCTTTTTGAGTGTCCGTTGCACTATCCTGCCCAGCTAGGAGGCAGTCTAGTCACTATTTGCCTGCCGAGGATCCGCCCTGCTGATGTGGGGTCCGCCCTGTTGCTGCGGGCCCTGCCCTGCAGCGGACTCTCTCTGTTATGGTGGATTGCCTCAGCAACAGTGGGCTGCATCAGCAATGGGAGTGTACCTCAGTAGGGGCGGATTGCCTTGGTCATGGTGGACGCCCCTCCCCCACCGAGCTGCATCGTCCTGGGTTCAGCTGTGCCTACAGTGAAACTCTCCACCCGGAGTGTTTCGAATTGCTGTTTTGTTTGTCCCTGTGGGGGTGAAACCCACCGAGCCTGCTCGCCTGGCTCCCTGCCTCAGAGCGCCTTCCTTTTTTTTTTTTTTAAGTTGAATGGATGGCTCTCTCCCAGGTGTTTCAGTTGCCCACTGGTAGGGCACCAGGATCTGTGTGATTTCCCGTGCAGCGAGCCACTGCGCTGGCTCAAACGCCACTTCCCAGGAATCTCCTGGTCTGGCTCACTGTCCAAGTCCCGTTTAATCAGATGGATATGCTAATCTGCCCTCCCAAATCTCAGATTGCCAGTTTAGCAGGGCACCCGGGTCAGTGTGTTTTGTGCGGATTGTTGTGGATTGCCGCTGTGCTGCAGCGCTGGCCGAAGTGGCTTCAACAGCCAAGATGGCTGCGCTTGTGTCCCGTGTCTTTCCTACACCTGGGAATTCCCCCATTCTGTGGGCAACAAAGATCCGTCTGGAAATGTGGCTTTGACTCACCCTCTGAGCATTCACTAAGAGCTGTGATCCTGAGTTGTTCTTACCGCGCCATCTTGAATCCCTTCAAAAACTCCAGGCATTTTCTTTTTAAAACCTAGTGGAAAACTGAGATTGCAGAGATTTACCCTGTATGGTTAGGTGCTTGTATGGTGCTGTTTTGAAATACTTGTAAATATTTTTTAAAATTATTAACAAGGCACTTTCCTTTAAGAAGTAATTTTCGTGATCCTTCCCCCACATAAATTCATTTTTTTGAGTGGCTACCATATGCAAGGTTCTAAGCTAAGCCCTCTCCATAATAGCTAATGTTTCACTGTTTACATACAACCATAAGTTTTGTTATCTCCTGCTCACCTGTATCTGGCAGTTCCTGTTTGCCGAGTTCGTTGGCATCACACTTAGTTACTGACTGGTTTGTATGCATTCTTTAAGGGTAAAGATTCTTGAAAAGATTATATTTGTATAACTCTCTATTAATGATGCTGTATCTGCCTTTTCTTCTTTTTACGTTTCCTTCAAATGTATTTGATAACTGATAATATGGCAAATAAAATGAACATTCATCAGTAAAATTTTGTTAAGATAATAAGAAACTTAATTTTGCTTCATGGACTAACGTTCTAGGTGGTATCAAGGATAAAATAAGCGATGTGTTGCTTCTTGCTCCCTGTTGTCAAATCATCAGAAACCTCAAAACCTATTATTAAACTGTCTCAATTAAAAATGTTCGTTTAGGGATTTGGAGGGGGTGATAATTATACACCGAATAGTTCTACCAGAGAGAATCCTTTTCAGTAGCTGAGTGAATACAGTGTAGATATTAATTTTATTAGACTTCATAATTTGCCATGTGTTATTGTGGCACACTTTAGTAATTCGAGGATTTGAAACGTTGTATTTCATGTTCAGCTTTATATAGACAGTTTCTTCAGAGCATCTTTATTTTAACCCAAGGGACTAATTTAATGGAAATAACTCCCTTAAATAGCTTTACTTGCTGGTTCTGAAATTTCCATGATAGTCGTCCTTAAAACCTTTTGTAGAATAAAAATTCTATTTTTAAGGAAGTATGCTGTGCAATTATTATTATTATTATTTTGAGATGGAGTCTCACTCTGTCACCAGGCTGGAGTGCAATGGTGAGATCTCAGCTCATGGTAACCTCCGCTTCCTGGGTTCAAGCGATTCTCCTGCCTCAGCCTCCCTAGTAGCTGGGACTACAGGTGCAGGCCACCATGCCTTACTAATATTTGTATTTTTAGTAGAGATGGGGTTTCACCGTGTTGGCCAGGATGGTCTCAATCTCTTGACCTCATGATCCCTCACCTCAGCCTCCCAAAGTGCTGGGATTACAGGCGTGAGCCACTGTGCCTGGTCTGCAATTATTTTTAAAGGCCCACATTTTAGTGTCCAATCTAAGTTTTCACTATAGTTTACAAGTTTCCTTCATAGTTCTAAAAACAGTCAAATAAATAACCAAACTTATCTTCTTTTTCTGAATATCTTTAAAATATTTATTTTTCATTTACAAAGTTAACATATAATTATTATTTTAAAATGTTAAACTATAGGAATGTAAGAAGTAAAATTATCTCAACACACAAAGATGACTTCTCTTGACAGTTCTTATCCTTTCATGTTTTTCAGTATGCATAGTTCTGTATGTACACACATCGTATATGTATTAGTGCTTGTACATATACTTTACATATTGTTCTGTAATCAAATATTCTCAGCAGAATTTTATGAATTTTTCTTTTACATTAAATAGATACACTATTATTTTAAAACGTTTGTTCATGTTATTATTAATTTTTTTTTTTTTGAGACGGAATTTTGCTCGTTACCCAGGCTGGAGTGCAATGGTGTGATCTTGGCTCACTGCAACCTCCGCCTCCTGGGTTCAGGCAATTCTCCTGCCTCAGCTTCCTGAGTAGCTGGGATTACAGGCACATGCCACCATGCCCAGCTAATTTTTTGTATTTTTAGTAGAGACGGGGTCTCACCATGTTGACCAAGATGGTCTCGAGCTCTTGACCTCATGATCCACCCACCTCGGCCTCCCAAAGTGCTGGGATTACAGGCATGAACCACGTGATTATTAATTTTACGTGTTAATGTGAATAGTCCACGAGATGCCCAGATAGCTGGGCATCTGTTTCTGGGTGTCTCTGTGAGTGGGTTTTCATTTGAATTGGTGAACTGAGTAAATCAGATGGCCTTCCCTAGAATGTGTAAGCATCATTTAATTCATTGAGGGCCTGAAAAGAACAAAAATGTTGAGGAAGGTTGAATTTGCTCTTTACCTAACAGCTTGAGCTGAGACATCAGTCTCTTGCCCTTAGTGTTCCTGCCTCTCAGGCCATCACACCCTGACTACAATCTATACCACTGATGCCCTCGGGCTTTCAAACTATACCACCAGCTTTTCTAGGTCTCCAGCTTGCAGATGGGTGAACATGGGACTTCTCAGAGTTCACAATTTCACCAATTCCTTATCATAAATCTCACTTTATATGTATCTGTTAATATCTACATATGTAGATATGAGAGATATAAGATCTATAGATATCTATATGTACAGAGAGAGAGAGAGAGAGATACATTGGTTTGTTTTTCTGGAGAATCCTGTCTAATACATGCAGTATTGACATTATTTTTTAAGCACAATTAATTGATAACATAGATTCACTTTTTCAACTTGTTTTTCACATAAAATGTAGTATGTAAAGTCTTTCTAGATGAAAACATGTATATGTGCTTCATTCTTTTTTGATGTTACGTAGTATTTTATTGTATTGATATACCACAATGGAGTGAACTATTCATTCTTTTCTTGATGGATATTAAGGTCATTTTCAGTGTTCCAAATGATATCCTCTTGATTTATTTCTGTGTGCTTACACAAATATGGGGTGGGTTTCTGAGTTATTGAATGTGAGCAATTAAAATTTTGATAAATATCACCAAAATGCCTTTTGGAGAGTGTACATAACTAACAATCTGTTATTAACTCTGGGTATTGTCACTTAAATATTTTAGGGAAACATTAGAGGTAAAAATGATGTGGCTATTTTAATTTTGCATTTTCATTATTTTTAGTGATTTTGAGCAGTATTGTATTTATTAACATTTTATTCTTTCTTGTCTAAGTTACTTGTCCTTATCCACTGCTAATCTATCTTTAGTTATTTTTCATTTTGTTTACAGAACTCTCTTCTCCTTATGTATAGTAAATTGTTGTTTATATGTTTTCAAAATGTCTTTTAACCTTGTTTATAAATAATTGAGTAAACTAATGGGTACATGAGGGATTGATATAAAATATTGTAGCCTGGTAATTAAATAAAACATGTTAAGTTCATAATAGGCACATATACCCAGGCTATGTGGGGTCATAGAAGAGTGGTAGCTAGAGCTAAGTGGAGGGTAAAAGAAGGCCAGCTGTACCAGGTGAGACTTGAGCTATGTTTTAAAATATGACTAGAGGCCAGGAGCAGTAGCTCACACCTATAATCCCAGCACTTTGGGAGGCTGAAGTGTGCAGATCAAGAGGTTAGGAGTTCAAGACAAGGCTGGCCAATACGGTGAAGCCCAATCTCTACTAAAAATACAAAAATTAGCCGGGCATGGTGGTGGGTATTTGTAGTCCCAGCTGCTCGGAAGGCTGAGGCAGGAGAATCACTTGAACTTGGGAGGTAGAGGTTGCAGTGAGCCAAGATCACACCATTGCACTCCAGCCTGGGTAACAGAGACAGACTCTGTCTCAAAAAAAAATTAATAAAAGAAAATATAGCTAGCAATTGTTACGTCAAAGAATATGAAGAAGTTATTCTAGGAAGAGGATGTAGCAATCCAGATAGAAGACAGCAAGGTCTTTTCTGGAAATTACAAGTTGTTCACTTTGCCTAGAGCAAAAGGTACTGTACAGAGAGCTATGGCACAGAGAGCTGTGAGATGGGGTTGTAGAGAGGGAGAGGACACATTTATGAATGGCTTGGTATGTTAAGATAAGGCATTTGAGCTTTATCCTGAAAACGTGGGGAGCCATCAATGTGTCTAGATTTGGATTTCAAGAACACTATTCTAACACAAAATAAAAATAGTTCAGGAGTCAGTCGGGATGCTGAAAGACCAGGTTGTGTTGAGGCGGACATTAAGTTTTTCATTGTCATAATCCTCAGGGGTCAACAAAATCTTTTCAAAATTCTCTGTAATTGGAATATAGTAGTAGCCCTGGAAGAATATATACCTAGAGGGTGGGATGGTTGGGGTCGAGGGACTTTTTCTTTTCTTCTGTACACATTTTTGTATATTCAAGTTTTATTGTTTCAATCAATCAGATACTTTAATAAGAAAACAATATTTTTTAAAAACTGCACCAATAACAGATGGGAAAGATCTGACTTGTAAATTTTTTGTGGTAAGTACTGAGTACTTTGATGGATCATCAAATCTGTCTGAAACCAAATGTGAATATGGTACTAAGTGCGGGTGTACTCATAGTCGGTTATATTAGTAGTTTATAGTATTCTAATAAAGAGTCTTTATACTCTGCTTTGCAATAGTTGGAAACAAAGTGTTTTCACTTTGGGTGTCAAAATTGAGACGATCAACTTGGACCATGTTTAGGAGAAAGGAACTGTGAGAGAAATGACTTAAAATCATATTAGATAAGGAATCATTAAATAAAATGCTTACATATGTATGTATATGTATACATAGAGAAATATATATATCACAAATTTTCAAATTGTACACCTTAAACATATGATTTTATTTGTCAGTTATACCTCAATAAAGCTAGGGAAAAAAGGAAAATGAGGATATATTTAGAGCAGGTCAGGCAAGATATTTGATTTCAGTTAATAATAATATTTTATTAAATTTCTAATAGAAATAAAACAAGAAATCAAAGTTGTAAGAGGGCAGATTTTGATATAAAAAAGGAAATCAAATGGATGTCACCTTTTTTATGACCAGAAACTGATACTCCTAGAGTTTTTGCCAACTTCTCTTAAACTGGCCATGACTGCAGTATTTATTCATTAAATTGATTGTTATGGCTGATGGTACATAATGGATTTCATAAAAGTCAGCCATACACATTTGTTTGCAAATTCATTTAATAAGTTTGCATGCATTTTTCTCATTAAATAAAACTAACAGGTTCATTTCTTAAGTTGATTGCATTAGATCTATTTTCATGTTTTTATGCTAGTACACTAAGTGGTAGTATTAATAATATTAAATAATTTATTTTGTCAGTATTACTGAATCTCTTCCTGACTTAACCCTAAATACCTTCTCTCACACACTCTACATACATAAGTCTAACTTGCCACTCTTGTCCCAATTGTCTTTACATTTGCTGAAGTTTTCTTGTACCCAGCCATTGTATTGTATCTTCTCACTAACAAAGGTGGAGTGGAGTCAGTTGAAAAAGAGAGCTACCGTACATGGTCTAGTTCAGGGCAAATGTCAAACACTTCAGAAGATAAAATTTTAGTTTCATCCTGTAGACTTGGGATGCTGGCACTTGAGCAGGTTATAATCACCCTACAACCCCTCATTAGGCTGAAGCAGAATACACTGGACTGTGGGATATACTCTGTTCTGTCATCTTGGGCTGGTAATATGGTAAGGCCTAAAATAAAACACCACAATTTACATTTTTCTAGTGTCTTTATATACTTGTAAAATGTCTAATGTCTTAGCTCTAGGAAAATATTGCTTACCTAACATAATTTGGACATTGTTTCACAAATATGCTCAAATTCTTTGGTTGGCAAATACATGTATCAGTTCATCTCCAGAGAACAGAAGCAACAGGATGTATGTGTGTGTACATGTGTGAGGAGACTGATTACAAGGAATTGGCTCATGTGATTATGAAGGCTGTCAAGTCCCAAGATATGCAGGGTGAGCCATAGCTGAGCCTGGCAGTGTCGCTCTAGTCTCAGTTTAAAGACCTGAGAATCAGGAGAGCCAATGGTATAGTTTGAGACTAAAGACCATCAGGCTCTAGACCTAGGAAGAGTCAGTGTTTCTGAGTCTGAAGGCTGGAGAAAAACCCATGCCCCAGATTGGGAGCAGGAGGCATTCTCTCTTAGCATTTTTCTTCTATTCAGGCCTTCAACTGATTGGATGAGACCCGCCCACATTGGGAGGATGATCTGCTTTATTCAGGCTACATATTTAAATGTTAATCTCATCCAAAAACACCCTCACAGATGCACTCAGAATAATGTCTGACCAAATGTCTGGACATCCTGTGGCCCAATTAGGTTGACATATAAAATCAAAAACATCACAGTACACTTAATCAACCAGGTGTTACTATTGCTCATCAGTATTTGTTACATGTTACCTGTTTTACTAATTCTTTCTTTTCCCCACCCAGGGATTATTTATTTGTCATCACCTCTTAGTCATTTGGAGTCGAGTACACTTTCACTGATGGTCACTGCTCAAGACGGTGGTGGACTCGCAGCTCTCATTAATGCCGACGTTACCATACACATTTTCCAGACAACTCTGGTGACTTCTGAGTTTGAAAAGCCTAAGTACACTTTTTTAGTTTATGAAGATGTGCCTGAAGATAGTCCTGTTGGAACAGTGAAAGCAAGAGAGCCTTTGAGTAAGTTCTTACTTCTTGTGCTGCTGCAAGCCCGTTATTGGAACATTTCTTGTTTTTCCTAGCCTGCGCAATCCTGAATAATTTTTTTCTTCTTTCCATGCAAGTCAAAACAGGGGAGACAACACAACCTGTGGCTTGCTCTTTGTTCTTCCATTTGTTTCTGTCCATTCCATATTTTTTTTCTGATCACAAAAGTAATAGGTATGTTTTAAAGAATGTTTAAAACAATACAGATTACAATATCCAAAGTATATGTCTCCTATAACCCACTCACCACAAAACACACACACACACACACACACACACACACACAATTTACAAGTTTTTGACAAAAATGCATCCTTCTGTATTTGTTGTTATAGAGCTTCTTTCCCCACTTAGTATATACTGAACAACTTTTCAGATAACTGGGCGTCATTCTGTCTCCTTAAAAGAAAGTAGTAAACATTTCCCTTATGCTACCAATTTGAATGATTTAAAAAATCTTACTAGTCCAAGTAGTACTTGAGCAAATAGCTGTGTGTGACTTTTTCACACTTGTAGAGGAACCTCTGCAGGATAAATGATACACTCTACAAGTGTGAACCTCCTAAAAATGAATTACCTCTTCAAAGAGCTTGTCCTCTTCCTAGTCCTCTCCTGTTCCTTCCTCTCTCCCTTCCTTCAATCTCTATGGAGAATATTTGCCCTTCATAGGCAGGTATAATAGAGAAACATCAACATAAATTTAACTTGACTTCTTCAAATATATAAAAAAGCTAACTGAATTATTTTCTGAATATCTTTCCCTTTTATCTAATGCAAGAACAATGAAAAAAGATTGTTAAACCTGTAGCTTGCTCTTGTCCCATTGGACCTTCTTTTTATACACCAAAAACATCTTAAATCCATGTGTCCGCTTTTCAACAGGCTAGGAAGTACGACATTGCACAGTAGTCTCTGTAGATGGAGAATATACAATCATGCTTCTTAACGACGGGAAATGTTCTGAGAAATGCCCCACTAGAAGGTTTTGTTATTGTGCAGACATCACAGAGTGTACTCACATGAACCTAGGTGGTGTGGCCTAACAGACACCTAGGCTAAATGCTGTAGTCGTTTGCTTCTAGGCTACACAGCCTGCACAGCATATTACTATACTTAATACTGTAGGCAGTTGTACGCCAATGGTAAGGATTTATGTATATAAACATTAAAAAGGCACAATAAAATACGTGTCAGAATCTTGTGGAACCATCATAGTATATGCGGTCCAACGTTGACTGAAATGTCATTAGGCAGTGCATGATTGTATTAATATTTCAATTTCTAAATTTCTACTGGGTCTACCCTTTTGACATACAGTGGTTGCCCCTCTCTCTTTTTCAGACTCCTCAGAACCAATCCTTTACAGGATTTCTTCTGGTGATCTGGGCGGGAAGTTCTCCATTCACCCGTGGCTGGGCACTATTCGCACCCGGAGGACCCTGGATCACGAGACGCAACCCGTGGTTGTGCTCACAGTGGAGGCGCAGCTCGGCAGCGGCCCAGCCTGCAGCAGCACGGAGGTCAACATAACCGTCCTGGATGTCAACGACAACCACCCAACGTTCCTCAGGACCTCGGATGAGATTAGACTATCTCAGACCACACCGCCTGGCACAGCCTTGTACCTCGCACGTGCAGAAGACAGAGACAGTGGGCGGAATGGACTCATCCGGTACGCCATCGCCAACCCTCAGCCGAGCGTCTTTGCCATCGACAGAGCCCTGGGGGTGCTGTTCCTCAACGGCAGCCTGGGCGCAGGCGAGCCCCGGGAGCGCACGCTGACTCTCAGGGCCGAGGACCACGGCGTGCCTCCTCGGGCAGCCCTGCTGCTGCTGACGGTCATTATTGAGAAACGCGAACCCAGCCTATCCTGGACTTTCGAACACTTGGTGTATCAAGTGGAAGTCAGCGAGTCTCTCTCACTGACGACACAAATACTGCAAACACGGGCGCACCCACTTGGCCCCCAGCCTGCAGCCTCGCCGCTTAGGTACTCCCTGGAACCCAGCGTAGACTCTGCTGTGTTTGGAATCCGCCCTTACACGGGCTGGATTTATTTGCGGCGACAGCTCGACTATGAATCCACCCAAACATATAATTTTAGAGTGTTTGCTTGGATCCCCGAGGGCGGATTGTTGCAAAATGTGAGCACTGCGGTCATTGTTCATGTCCGGGATGAGAATGACAATTCCCCCACCTTCTTGCATGATGTGTTGTTTTTAAAAGTCGAAGAGAGCCCTGTTCCCCAAGGGGTAATAGGCAAAATTACAGCTATTGACATGGACTCTGGAAAGAATGGACAGCTATTATATTTCCTTTTGTCCGAAGGAAAATTCTTCAAGATGAATCCTAATACAGGTAGCACTTTATAGTTTCCACCTATTCCTTTAAAATGAGAATTGAGTACGATCACACTGGCCTTTAAGTAAAAATAAAATAGGTGCTGAGAAAACTCAAATCGTTAGGTGTAGCATTAGTGCATACAAGCAACTGAAATACGGTTTTTAATAAATATGGTATTTGATTACTATATCGTGAGATCTTAAAAATGGAGTGAAAATTGAATAGAGTTTCAATCATAACGATTCATACTTTTTTGCATCACATGCACATCTTGCCAATATACGGTTCTTTTTCTGAACTAGAGATATAGTCAGAACTGGAGTGAAAATATCCTCGTGTAAAGGCTTTTTTTTTTTAGCAACCATCCTTTTCCAATTGCAGACTTTAAAAAATGTCAAACATATTTTGTGAAATATAAATATTAATGTAAAACTAGAAATCAATTCATTGGTTAAGATTTCAAAATCACTCTAAGAATGTGTGTCCTCATTCTCATTCTGACAGGGAAACCAGAGGAAAAAGGGGAATCATTACAGTGAAGTTTTTGAAGTCTGAATTAAGAAATTAAATATTAAAAGTCATTATATTTAAAAATTTATATTGTATAAGTTTATGGGGAGTTTATTTAATCCTTACAATGAAATGTATTTATATTTCAAATGCATAGCCGGGGAAACTGAGACTCAGGTAGCTCAAGTAATATACCCAAGGTCACAGAGCTGGTAAGATGGAGAGGAAGCCCCTGCTTCGCACAGGTCCAGGACGCACCATCGATGTCATAACCTGGGCAGATGATTTTAGTGGGACAGATTTTGCATTCAGTTCTGATAAACTTCAAGCCTTTGTTCTCAAGCCTCTGTTGTGTGAATTAGGAGAAGGTGACCTTTCTCAGCAGATGGAAGGTTTCACAGGGCACATGGCTTGCCAAGGAGGTTGCAAGCTGCCTTTCTTCTCTCATTCACTTCCTAAGCTGGGACTCCTTCTGCGAGGGCACAAACCGTACAAGTATACAGGATGACACTTCTTGCACTTTACTTCCATATGGCTAGGTGGTTTTCAAGATCTTCTATTTCACTTGGTAATTTTTTTTTAAATAAGCAAACTACATTTGGTTCCTCGATAATCTCCCCTCCCCTATGAGAAGACCAGGTGTGTCCATTCCTCATTTCATTGTATGGCTTTAAGCAAGCAGCTTAAGCTCAGACTGTCTTCTTACCGTGAATACAGGAGACAATTCCTGACAAGCGCTGTGCCATGTTCGTTTTCAGGGGTAAAGAGCCAAAGAGTATGAAGGGACTTATAAGATCATGTGCTTGTAAACTGTTCCTCCTCCCAAGGACAGCATGGCAAGGCAGAGTGGAGGAAAGGTGTCCAGAGCCTGGGAGCACGCCCCCTTTACATCCAGTGCTCTGGACTGTCTTTCAAGTGACCAGGACTTGAGCTCCCATGGAACCCTACCCTGGTGTCACTAGAAATCGATTCATTGGTTAAGATTTCAAAATCTTAAAAGATTTCAAAATGAGCTGCATAGTCTTTTACACCCCTGACCTCCAAGGCTGCTGCTTACCCATCAGATTTGCTTTATGAATAAAAATCTATTTGTCATTCAGAAGTTAAGGTCTTCAGAGGAGAATTACAGTTTGGAATTTTAAAAATGTAGTTGTGTTTATGATCTATATTAAAACCTCAGAGTAAACACTATAAATATAGTTTATATATTAATGGTAAACAGTTATCATATATACTGCATTTAAGCTCACCAATTCAGCAACTTACCTAAATGAGAATTTTCATTTTCATTCCTTGTTTCCACTTTTCTTTTTTACACAGTGCTATTTTATTTGCATTAAGAGGAAAAAAAAATTTTAGCGTAGAAATGTTTGTTGGTAGCTGCTTCATGCTTACATTCTCACAAGTACATTTTTTTTTTTTTCATAAATGATGAGGAAACCAATGCTTGGCAGAGCTCTGCCACAGCAGACAGGCTACTGGACTGAGTGCTTGTCTTTGCAAGGCCCCTGGCAGTAGGGAGAGGCAGTTAGATGTTATGCCTGGGTCTGCATGGCCGATACATGAGGGAAATTACCAAAGGCAGTGTAGCTCTAGGCAGAAATATTTGAAATAAAACTTCATTAAGAGTTTTTAGAAAGTCACTATCCATTGCTACCTGTATATTTTGTAAGATAAAAAATACCTGTGTACATAAACACAAACCATTGCTTAAGGAATATTACTTGATTTTCAGAAAGATATTTAGCCACTATGTTAAAGTAATGATAACTGCCATTCGTGTAATCATGTATAGCTTACACAACACTTTTAAATGTGTGATTACATTTCTTCCTGACAGCAATCCCAGGCTCAGAGAGGTCATTACATGTCTGGGGTGGGGAACCTCGGGCCCAAATCCAGAACTTGTGTCAGAGCTAACGTGCTTTCTATCATCCTGTATAGCAGCATAAAGAGGGATAAACAGCAGTTTTAAATCTTCCAAATCGTTACTAAATGCCCACAGAGTTTTATCATTTTTATGAACTCATTTTTTTTTAGTTCAAATGATTGATGGACAATAATTTGAAATACAAATAATAACAAATTTAAAGTGATATTTTCAGGAGCAACTTGAGAACATTTTTTTCAACAGTACCGTAAAGCCAAACTTCTGTGTAGATGGTCTTAGAAGTCGCACGTTTGCTCAGAGCTTTGTATTTGGTTTTCCTTCTGGGAATTGTTCTGGCTGTGGTGTGTCTGGTACACAGTGCCTGTGTCTTGTTCTGCTCTGTGCTCTGCAGGAGAGTTGATCAGTTGGGTGGCACTGGATCGTGAGCACCAGGGGCATCATCAGATGACTGTGCTAGTGACGGATCGCGGCTCCCCACCACGAAATGCCACCATAGCAGTTTACGTCTCAGTGACTGACATCAATGATAACAAGCCCCTCTTCCCCCAGTGTCTCCCTGGAAAGGAGTTACACGTGAAGGTTTGTGAAGTGGCCTTGCAATAAAGTGGTAATATCTTTAGTCATTTGTTTTGAGCACCATCTTGTGGTAGAACATGTGAATTTATCACATCAGTCTTGGTGTGGCAACGCATACTTTTTCTAGGAAACCTAGATATTGTGCACATGTTTAAATAAAAAAAACTTTTAAATAGTTAATGAATATATGTACTCTTTGGCATTGTACCTCCAGTTGCTTTATAATAATGAGTGTAATTAGGACCTTTGTACACAGACTGAATGGTGCTTCAGGATGATGCTTGTTTTTTCCAGTAGTTTTAGTTTACATGCATCTTTTTGTGCAGAACTTCTTAAGAGAAATTGATACACATCTCTAAGATAGTTACTTAAGCATAGGGGAACAATAGGTAGCTCCTAAGTGGGTAGGTGGACATGCAGAGATAGTAAAAGTTGATTCTTTTGATCACATGCACAAACTTGCAATGGTATGTATATGATCTCATCTTTTTCATTTCTGTCTTTTTGTATGTTTTATAACATACATAATAAATTAGAATATCCATTCATTCACATAATCAATAAATATGTTTGGATACTAGTAATTTTTTTAGTGGATGGGTTATAATCGTGAAAAGTTTGGAAGCTACCGTTCCAGAACACTTGACTTAGACATTCAAATTGTGCTCAAATATACACATTGAACAACTTAACAAGAGTACTGTAAACTGATATTCTGAATCCAGCTTTAAAGAAAAATTCTAACAAAATAAAATATTATTATATTATCACTATGCCTTTCTATCATATCATTAAAATGTCCTGTGGCTTAATTGGGCAGTTGGACACTAAAACAGAAGTTGAACTTCACATGTGTGTTTCAGTATTACAAGACAGCTCCTGATAATTGCTATGTCCTACATGAGGTATGTTTCCTGAATTAAAGGTTCATGCTTATTTTAAGCTGTAACAACCACCTTTGAAAAATTGTCCTAAGAGATGATGAATGAGATTATTCCAGAAATCTTAAAATACACTACAAATATAAGATTTTTTAGTAAGTTCAATTTCTTTCTTTCTTTTTCTTTTGGTCAGAATTAGTTTAGATGCCTCAGATAACTCATTCTAATTGAATAAAAGATTTAATTTGTAAGGAGGATGCTTTTCATGGACTTACACCCATATAACTTTTACATGGTACATGTTTGAATTATATGTGGATTTTAAGATAGTTTAAAATGTTCAGTATAATGTATTCATTCATTTAAAGGTCCACTGATATTTCTTTTTAAACTTTTGCTGATTCATTTGTAAGCTGTTTGTTTTAATGGCAGGTTCTGGAAGGTCAACCAGTAAATATGTTGGTTACGACTGTGTTTGCAAAGGATCCTGATGAAGGAAATAATGCAGAAGTTGTATACTCAGTATCTTCAGGTAAAAATTACTGTTCATGCAGGATTAAGAAC